TGATTATTATTTGAAAATCGCAGCCCTCCACCACATGCACACACACGCATTAGACTACACACCATGTGAGCAAAGCGGAGCGGTGTGACGCTTATAAGTTAAAAAACTTAAATATACGTTTCATTTTTATAAATAATATAATGTTATTATTTTTTTATTTCATCTGTTGATTAGGGTATATGAAAAGGGAACCGCATGAGATGAGTAAGATAGGATCATAAGATGACCAATAGGCCTATATCGGAAAACATTTGGAATTGGTCAGACATGATTTTGACCACTTATTTAGTTTTGTTTTGTAGAAAGCCTTTCTTTAAAGTTTATTTCGTTTTGTATAAATTGTATCTTCATTTTAATCAATGTTTCATCAACAAATTTGCCTGGATTAAAAAATAAGAATTTATTCATATGAAGTGTGCATTTCTGGCGCGTTCACTACTGCGAAGATGGCGAGCATGCATCGTCAACTTTATCAATTTATCAACAATTTAAATGTTTCATGCATAATCATTACTTTCGCCGGTTCTTTGTGGCAAGCTTTATTTCAGGTGTTGTGTGATATCTCTGCGCCCGAGTAGCAGTGCTTCGCCTGTGTAGAGTCTCCGCAACGGCGATAGATTGAAACGCGCGTCCGAGTGAAGATTGCGCAACTCGCGCAGCGCGTCGTCCATGACACTGATAGCAGCGGACACGAGCGCTCAGCTTGATTTAAAAAACAACTGATTTTAGCGCTAGATCTCTTATTTAATAGCAAACTAAATGAATGATCTGCTAGTTAAATGGAGATGTTAACTAGTTAGCTAGTTATTTATTTGTATTAGGTACATCCATGCCTCAATGTTTCAAAAAGTGAATCCTCAACTTGACTAATTAAGAGGCGATATTTGACCGGCATATCATCAAAATGTCCGTTAAACGAAAACTCTGCCGGTCACTTTGACCGGCACCATTTTTTTCTAGCGGAAACTCTGACCCCAACACGACTGATGCTGATAGAATGGTTAATACATCCTGATGTTAGTGGCATATGCATAGGTTAGTGGCACTATAGATCCAATCCAGGGATGGGCAACTTCGGTCCTGGAGGGCCACTGTCCTACAGAGTTTAGCTCCAACCCTGAAAAAATCACCTGCCTATAACTTTCTAGTAATCCTGAAGACCTTGATTAGCTTGTTCAGGTGTGTTTGATTAGGGTTGAAGCTAAACTCTGTAGGACAGTGGCCCTCCAGGACCGAAGTTGCCCATCCCTGATCCAATCTAATGGGGGAAGCATCACGCCAAGCTGGAGCAAGCAAGGACATATTGCAACAAGCAAGTTGATGTAGCCAATTTAACAGTGTATGGGATCTATTTGGGGAAGCTTACACCCCTAGCGGCAGCAAAATCTGATACAACAAGCATGTTGTATAAATCGCGGAACTATTGCTAAAACTAGTTTAGTTTGGCAGGGGAAGCATACACCCACACTGACTAGCAGCAACAAAACTGATACAACAAGCATGTTGTATAATCACAGAACTATTGCTAAAACTAGTGTAATTTGGCAGGGGAAGCATACACCCTACAGCAACAGCTCAGACTAGTGGCAACAAAATCTGATACAACAAGCATGTTATATAACCATGGGACTAGTATTAAAACTAGTGTTCCTTGTGAGAAACGAATTCCTCGCGCTAAATTCCCGATTGCACAATTCCTTGTGAGATGATGTGGTTTGCCAGCCGAATTTCGCCATTTAATTAGCTCCTGAGAAACACGATAAGCCTAGCAAGAGCATTTTAATGAAAACGACTAGATAAGCCTATGCAACATGGATAGCATTAGCAACAAGCATGCTGCCAATACCCTGATAGCTTTTAGCAATGAGCATTAAAAATTAACTTAGCTTTGTGAAGAATTTCAGAGATGAATGGAGAGTGCATCACATCGAGTCCTGTGTCAATAATCCAGCGAGCAGCAATGCAGACTGAGGTCACTTCCAAATCAGGCAGCTTATGATCAATGCGGCGAATCTCGGAATGTTCGCCAGTTCCCGCCTCCTTTCTATAACAACAAACTGTGTTACACCCTGTTTGCACTAAACCTGGTGTGTTGGCTGCCAAAAAGCTCTATTTTTAGTTTAATCTGACCACAGAATCTGGTCCCTTTTGAAGTTCCAGTTGTGTCTGACAACTGAATATGCTGGAGTTTGATTTTGGATGAGCGAGGAAGATTTTTTTTGCAACCCTCCCAAACAACATGTGGTGATGTAGGGGCTGTTTGATTTTTTTTTTTTGATGATACCCTGGTGTGCTAAAAAAACAAACATAAATAGGAATGGGAATATACTTTTACTATTTATTTCATAATGTGAGTATCCCCCCAGTTTCCATTGTTGTATTTCAATGAAAGATTAGCATTTTGTGAATTTGTTGAATGAAAGATCAAAAGGATAAACAATGCAGATTTATTTTCACAGTCTCCTTTGCTCATATTTACCAAGGGTGCCAATATTAGTGGAGGGCACTGTATGTGAATGCTTGGCTAAAGAGATGCGTCTTTAATCTACATTTAAACTGGGAGAGCGAGTCTGAGCCCCGCACATGATCAGAAAGGCTTTTCAGAGTATAGGAGCCAAAGTGAAAACGCTCTCCCTCCTTTAGTGGACTTAGATATCCTGTACTACCAGAAGCCCAGAGGTTTGAGATCATAAAGAGCGGGATGGATTGTAGGGCAATAGAGGATCAGTTAAATAAACTTTTTTTAGTTTATTTTCAGTGACTGTCACATAATTTTGGTGCCCAAACATGAACCATCCAAGTTCATTAACTTGCATTCTGGTATTTCAAAGTCACTTAATGGGTTCTATTGTAATGCCAACCTGTCTACTGCAACTGTCTGAAGCTCAAGATGGAACATGAGCAGCATATGTTCAGAGAGTAAGTTGCTATGGCTTCTTACTTACCCTGAATGTTACCTCCAGTTTTGGAACCGAAAGTTGAGGTCATCCGTTTACTTATCCGTCAATGTACCCGGGTATGTTGTATAATGTGACTAAAACGTCATTTTTTCCTTTCGTGATAAGTCATTCCAAAAATCAGGTTTACGTATATCGCAGCCACCGCACTAGCCATTATTTTTAATTGAAGGAGACATAGGCCAGTTTTCACACATTAATGTCAAGGACAGACCCTTATACTGGGAGCGGCACATATAAGGTGTTTCTGGGTGTTTCTCCCTCCCATTTCTGTGTTGTTTAGAATCCAGTATTCCTGTGATACTTTTGTCTTTTATGAGTTTAATGAAGAACAACTCCTCGTCTTCTGTTCAAACATACCGTGCTGCCTTAAAAGAATGATCAACTTTTACGTACGTCAGGTGACCTGTAAATGCGAAAAAACTTTACATTGCAGTTTTGTGAAATATTCTTTTTTCGAATTGCCTGAAAAACCACCTTTTGCGAGCGTAAAATCTTTTTTATTTTATTTCTGGGAGTTTTCGCGAAATTTACGTGTTTCCATTGGGTATAGTTTCAATTCGCAATTTGAAGGGTAATGGAAACGCGGCTACTTACAGACTGGGAAGAGAGGAACTGCAACAATGGAGAATATGAGGAAAATAATCAACATTCAAGCAGGAAAACCTGTTCTAGTAGAGCCCAAAAACAGCATCAAGAAAAAGGGCAGAATAGGTCTTCTTTAAAATGAATGTCTAAGACTTTTCACAGTATATGAGGTAGGCAATGACCAGTTAAAGGGTTAGTTCACCCAAAAATGAAATTTCTGTCATCAATTACTTAGCCTGTTGTTCCAAACCCGTAAGACCACCGTTCATCTTCGGAACACAAATTAAGATATTTTTTATTAAATCCGAGAGGTTTCTGACCCCACATAGGCAGCAACGTCATTTCAACTTTCAAGGTCCAGAAAGGTAGTAAAGACATCATTAAACAGTCCATGTGGCTGCAGTGGATCAACCTTAATGTTATGTAGCGATGAGAAAACTTTTTGTGCGCAAAAAAACTGAAATAAGGATTTCTTCTCTTCAATATTAGTCTCCTACACTGATCACAAAGTAAACACAGTGCAGCGCTTCTGGGTTCTATGTCATTATTGGCTCATTATTGGCCGACGCTGGTCACGTGAATACCACGACGCATGCGTGTGATGCTGACGCAGGAGCAGCCAATAATGAGCACTGTATTTACAACGTAAAGAGCATAGGAGACTGATGCAGACGAGAAGAAATTGTTGAATAAAGTCGTTATTTTTGTTGTTGTTTTTTGCGCACAAAAGGTATTCTCGTTACTCCATAACATTAATGTTGAACCACTGTAGTCTCATGGACTATTCTGACTTAGATTAGATTAGATTAGATTCGATTTCTTTATTGTCATTGTACTTACATACAATTACATTTTTAGTACTTTCCAACGTACACAGTGAAGAGTAGTTAAATTCATATTGCAAGTGCCACTTAGTGTTATTTCACTTAATTGTCTATCATGTCAAGAATGTCTTGTGGTAATAATTTAAGGATGTAGTTTCAGTTCATGGTTCATTATCCTGATGGCATTGGGATAAAAACTGTTCATGAGTCTGGTTGTGCGTGGAACAATGGCTTTACTTCCTTTCTGGAGCGTTACAATGACGTTGCTGCCTATGTGGGGTCAGAAACCTCTCGGATTTCATCAAAAATATCTTAATTTGTGATGAACAAACGTCTTACAGGTTTGGAATAACATGAGGGAGAGTAACTAATGACTGATATTCCATTTTTTAATGAAATTGTGAACTAACCTTTTAACTAATGATTCCCATCTCCACTATAACTACACGACAGCAGGTCGATTTTGGACACAAACCACTCTTTTACGCTTGTAGTACAGCATGGATAAACTGAATTGTTTCCTTCTGCACATGGCCAGGGTTTGATGTTTGTCTCTACAGCAAAGCAACTGCTCATGTCTAAACTCTACCTCTGAATGAGTGTCTTTGCTTCTTCCTCTTGTTTCTTGCAGTCTCAGCACAAATGCATTGTGATCTTTGCGCTGGTGTGCTGCTGTGCTCTCCTGATAGCATTAATATTCTCTGCTGTAGATGTGTGGGGCGATGACGAGGACGGCATCACTGTAGAAACCTGTAGCAGAACCTGCCGGTAAGTAAAACTCACCCCTCGGACATTGACTATATCCAATTTTGTTGACGACTAGCTTACAACTTCTTGTGACCCACACCTGATATCTGCATTTACACTATACACTTGGTGAAACAACCCCAGGTAGACGAACTGACCCGGAAAAGCTAAGGCCAAAAAAAAGTAAAACCGGCCTGCTTAATTTGTGCCGGAACAAGCAGGACCTAGATTCAGCACCTCTGAAATCTGATCCTGTACCTCCTTTGGGGGATCCCCCATCTCATACACCACTGAAAGATATTTGTTTTATGAACTGTGTACATATGTTCTTATGCATGCAAGTCGCTATGGATATTTTCATATTTGAGTCCTCTTTAAATCTTTGCATGCAGAGCCAGCTTTTTCATGTTTTAGCTCGTTAGCATGATTGTTAGGTATTACGCATTATATCTTGAGGATTATTTCTGGGTTTGGACATCGTTTTATTAAATGCTGTGAGGACTGCTGAGTAGAACTGATGATTTCCGGGGGGGTTAAATGGCCGCTATGCTCATCTGTAAACACCTGCAAGCTCCCGCGTGCAAAATGCATACCTGTCAAGTATCCCGTTTTGGCCGGGAAAGTCCCGTATTTAACCCTTCTTTCCCGCCGTCCTCCCGTATTAGGATTTTCCCGTAAATCTCCCGTATTTTTGCATTATTGAAAAATAATAATACCGCGGGCGGAGTAAAAAAAAAAAAAAAATCCAATCTGAGCTGTCACTAGCCTCGCGATAACTAACGTTCCAGGTACTGTAGGTGGCAGTTGTCGCGATGTTAGTTTGTGAGGTCAGATGATGAGTGACAACGCGGGGCAAACAAAAAACAAACAAAAACAGAGACGGATGATGGACGCCATGACAGAGCAAGGTACTCTTGCCAAAAAAACAAAACCCTCATGTACTAAATACCGCGATCGATCAATGGGATAGCGAATTTACTTTTCTGAAGAGGAGCAGGGTAGGGGACAGTCACGCGTTTTGTAAGTTTTGTAACTGCGACTTTAGTATCTCACACGGGGAAGGAATGATGTATGTCAACACGAGAAAGGGTGATTTAGCATGGTACGAAAGATTGTTACACAGAATAGGATGACGTTAGACAACAGAACTGTTTGCTCTACTCTCATGTAAAATTAACCACTCTGGCCCAGCCCACAAATACACTCCTTCCAAAACAGGTAATTACAAAGTCTGCAACAATTTTTTTTTCAATAACTCACTAAAAGAGTAAAGAAAAGTTATGTGAAATGAAAAGAAAAACTGCAAATGAAAAGAAAAACTGTAAAAGAAAAGCAATATGAAATGAAAATGTGTGGAATGAAAATAAAATGTAAATGTAAAGACAAGCAATGTTAAATGAACAGAAAATATGCAAATAATCCTTTAAATAAATGCTCTTAATACCCTATAACGTTACCATACATAGGCCTATTAAGACAGGTGTTATAGCCTAAATGAAAAAACACACACACACATATATATATGTGTGTGTGTGTGTGTTTTCATTTAGGCTATAACACCTGTCTTAAAATGTAAGGGATACTGGAGCTTGGTTGGGGTGGTGGGACTGCTCGCGGTGGGTGCCGGAAAATTTCCCTTATTTTCAAATCTAAAACTTGACAGGTATGGCAAAATGGCTGTGACTATAAACTTCCGACAGATCTTTTGTTTCACTTAATGCATAATGGCATGGTGTTTTACATGCACAACCGGTCAAAGCACGTCATCAGGATGTGAAAAACACGTATTTGAACTAATGGAAAACTCAAGATAATCAGCGTCTAGCGCATTCAATTTCTATGTTAATTCTGAGAGTATTTTCGCATGTCTGTTTCCATCCAGGATTTCGTATGCGCATTTTCAAAATATGCGCGTAAGTTCTGTTACCTTTCCTTGCCCCACTAAATTATGTTTTATTAACAAATTTCGGGAGGAACACGTTCAAATGATCTATCCAATCAGCACGAGAGAAGGCGTATATATATACTCACCTATGTTCCTTGACAGTTTTCAGCATTTGGTCCCGCCCAGCTGTCAGAATGTCAGAGATTCGAACTCTTCCCGTCTGATGATGAGTCCATTCTTTCCCAGGATCCTTCACTGCATTCCACTGATGCCAGGAGTCCTTGCGCTCCGCCGGACACTGCAACTGAGTCTCTGGCGCTACCGCATGGACGTCGGCCCATCCGTGCCGCTTCCCGAACTCCAAGACGCCGAGGCTTACCCTCGCCTCCACCAGCAAGACACCCACCAGCATGTCCAGCGTCCTCCTATGCCTGGGCCCATCCAACAATCCCTGCAATGGACAGTGCTGAGTTTAAGACAAGTACTAATCAACGCTGATGTCCATTTCTCTAGGAGAATTAATTAAGCTCCATTATATGACCTGTCTGTTTCCCTACAATCAGCTTTCCCTTCTCCAAAATCCACTCCACCCTTCAAGGTCGCTAACAAAGCGAACAAGAATCGTAGAGCCCTGACTTCCCGTTCACAAAGAACACCGTCTCCTTCCCTCGCAAGACCGAGCCTTCATTGAGCGTCAGGCCGCGGCAGTAGGCATTCATCAAGTCTGGGCTACCCCCCAGATTCCAGCACTTCCAGGACTCACTTTACTCTTCCCGCCACCCAGCTTCACAGACGCCTCGGCAAGCAGCCTCAGCCCCGGCCTTTCTTCCTCCTAACACTCTCCCCCAAGCTAGATCTCATTTCACTCTCTCCTCCGGAAAGCCAAAGCCATCCCACCAAAGGCTACTGCCTTGGAACCGCCAGCAACATCACAGCACAGATACTCACAGGTACGGATATTGATTTATCTTCCCTATTATTTTTACTCCCTTGTTCTGTTTCAGACTGTGTGTTCAGTCGTGACTTTTCAGTTACCTTAAAGAATTCAGCCAATAATCCATTATTTTAATATACTTAATTACTTTCTTTTTCCGAATTTTACATCGCCTTTAATTGCTATAGTGAAAACATCTACGCCGCATTTCCCCATAGGAGAGGAGAGCTGATTGATTATCTCGCAAAAATTGCAGAGCTTGCTTTATCTTACGGAGGAACTTATTTTCATACTTACAACAAGCTATTCTCAGCTAAATGTGCTGTCCACGTAACATTGGAGTGGCTACCAGACAATTTTCAGGTAAAAAACACTTAATAATCGATCTCTCAGCCCCGCACAATTACCCGTTCACAAGCAGAAACAGCCTTATCTCTCTCACCTAAGGGGGGTATTCCCCCCAATTTTCGAAAATGAAATTCAGGCCCTGAATGAATGTCTGTAAAAATCCTGATTGGAGCATCCCTATAAATTATTCTACATAATAAAAAGAAGGCTTCAGATAGATCGGTATCAGTGATCATATCGGCAGATACTGCTTCCTGTGATCGACAATTGGTGATCGGCTCCAAAAATCCGGATTGGAGCACCCTTAATAACTGCCAAACACGTTCCCAGGGCCAAAAATCAAATAGCTGACTCTCTCTCATTTTGCTTTTCAGAAATTCAGGCTGCTGGCACCAGAGTCAGACCCAACTCCAGTTCCTCATTATCCAGAGCTGATATTCCCCTAAACCACGCATTGAAATCCCTTCTTGACACCTCTCTCAACTACATTCTTCAAGCCGTCTCCCCTAGAACCTTACAAACTTACTTGACTGCTTAGAGATTTCCTTTCACTTCACATAAAGCCTGTTTTTCCCCAATTTTTCTCTTCTCATTATTACCTCATTTGTACTTATCAGCTAAATTCTTCAGCTCCAGCTTGTTGTCACACACTTAAACCTACAGGCTCACCATATCTGCCTCAATTAACACCATCAATCCACTAAAATATTGAAAATATTTCTACTTCACTGCCACAGCCTCTGCTCCCGCAGGAGCTCAGTTTCTCTGGTTCATTTTTTCTCCACTGCCGCAGCAGTGATTTCCCCGTTTGATGATTCGAGAGCGCTCCCGGTCCAGCTATTAACCCCCATTCTGCTAACGGCGCACTATCAGCCATGCGCTCTGGAATATTTTTGTGGGGGTTGTCAGTAACGTTCCTGGCTTCTGTCCCATTTTGGTTTTGCCATTTTTGGGGGGAACTCTATTGATTCGGGCCAAAATACTGAGATTAGAGCCCTCTCCTCGGACACCTAATGCGCATACTTCTTTAACTCTATCTGATTATGAGTGTGAACTCGTGATGTTTTATAAATAAATTTCGGGAGGAACACGTTCAAATGATCTATCCAATCAGTACAAGAAGAGGCCTATATACAGTTTTCAGCATTTCTCCGCCACCCCGACTCCTCACTTTTGGCTGGTTCCTATCCCAGCCAGGGATATGGAGGGAATTCTCTGAGTTCGGGCCAAAATACCGAGCTCGGAGCCCTCTCGGACAGCATGCCAAAATACACATTCTTCTTTTACTGATTATTTGTAAGTGTGAATTCGTGAACTTGCCAGTGTAGTCCCAAATTCCGGTATCCACTGAATTATGTGACCCTAGTATTCGCTGTAGTAACGGTAGAGTTAAGATTAGGATTGGAATTCGGATAAGCTCAATACAGCGCCTACTAGGGTCACAGAATTCGGCACAACACCGGATCCATCCCCCTATTTCCTGAAAATCTGTGATCTGAAATTATTAATTTGTTTTTTTCACTTTCACTTATCAAGTTTATCCAAAATGTCATTGAAGTCCAGCATTCTCTTTAAATCTGATTCTGTTGTCAACTTGCACAGGGAATATGCCTCTGTGTTGTTTTTGTTTAAAGTTTGCTTTTAATATGTCTCAGTTTAGAAAATGAATGTTTCCTCTTTCAATTTAGAAAGATGCACAGTTCAACATAAACATCAGGAAAGAGAGACTGAAGAACAACATCCAAGACTGTCAAGTCAAGACAGCTTTACTCAAGAAGTTGTGCTGTTGTCAGAAAATTCACATCATTCTTCTGAAATTTCAAATTGACTACAACTGGTAAAGAAAAAAAATCTTCTTAAAATAGTATAGTACTAATCTAATCCATACTTGAAACTTGGCATTGTGAACTGCAAATCACTGGTGTTCATCACTTGTAAATCACTTTTGACAAAGATGTCTGTTAAATGACTATATGTAAATGTATTGGTGTAAAATTCGCTTCCTGGGTTAGGCGCCAGCGCTCCTCCTCGCTGCCTCTCCTCAGGTACGTCGGTTGTCCCCTTAGCGCCGCTACCATGGAGCCTGGCTAGCACTTCCCAGCCCATCCCGCTGGCATTTGGTGACAATTAGACTCGGCTATGTGATTCAGTTCACCAGGCATCTTCCCAGGTTCAGCGGCGTCCTCTTTACCTCAGTCGCAGGCAAAGACACCCCTGTCCTGCATGCGGCAATTGCGGTCCTGCTTGCGAAGGATGCAATAGAGCCTGTCCCTCCAGCCAAAATGAAGACAGGGTTTTACAGCCCTTACTTTATTAAACCCTAGAAAGGCAGTGGATTACGGCCAATCTTGGATCTGCTAGTTTTAAACTGGTCCCTTCACATGCTCCCGTTCAAGATGCTTACGCAGAAACACATCTTTACGTGCATTCGTCCTCAAGGTTGGTTCGCAGTAATCGACCTGAAGGATGTGTACTTCCACATCTCAATTCTTCCTCAACACAGAGCATTTCATCGGTTTGTCTTTGATGGTCAGGCATACCAGTACAAGATCCTTCCCTTTGGGCTGTCCCTGTCTCCCTACTGCTTTACCAAAGACACAGAGGCTGCTCTTGCATTCGCATTATAAACTATCTCGACGACTGGCTCATTCTAGCTCAATCTCAAGATCTGTTGTGCGGACACAAGGACTTGGTGCTCATGAACCTCAGCCATCTGGGGCTTTGGGTCACCTGGGAAAAGATCAAGCTCTCCCCTGTGCAGAGCATCTCTTTTCTCGGTATGGAGTAGGACTCTGTCAACATGACGACTCTACTCATAAACAAGCACGCACAGTCAGTGCTAAACTGCCTAAATACGTTCAGGGGAAAACGGCATTTCCACTGAAGCAATTTCAGAGGCTCCCTGGTCACCCGGCTCGCACTGGCTACACGTTGTTGTTACAACAGATGCCTTCCGAATGGGTTGGGGCGCTGTATGCAAAGGGCACGCAGCCTCTGGCTCCTGGATGGGACCTCGACTGCTGTGGCACATCAACTGCCTTGAGTTGTTCACAGTGCTGCTCACCCTGTGCCGGTTTCGGCCGTTGCTTCAAGGCAAGCACGTGCTGGTCTGGACAGTTGCATGTGCTGGTCTGGACAGTCCCAACACTGCGACAGTTGCGTATATATCAACTGCCAAGGCAGTGTACACTCAAGGCGCATGTCAAAACTTGCCCGCCATCTCCTCCTCTGAAGTCACCATCGGCTAAGGTCGCTCCGCGCCATTTATATTCCGGATGATCTCAATCGTGCAGCTGATGTGCTCTCACAACAGCTCATGCTCCCGGGAAAATGGATACCATTGGATCTCAAAATGGATCGAGCTGATCTGGAGTCAATTCAGTGATGCATAGGTAGACCTCCCAGGAGTCCTTCCACTGTCAGGTCTTTTACTCCCTGACCGAGGCTCCCCTTGCCCACAGTTGGCACACAGACTCTGTGCAAGGTCAGGGAGGATGAGGAGCAGGTCTTAATGGTTGCCTACTGGTACCTGGTTCTCAGACCTGATGCTCCTGGCGACAGCCCCTCCCTGACAGATTCCCCTGAGAAAAGGACCTTGTTTCTCAGGGACGGGGCACCATATGGCACCTGCGTCCGGCTTCACTTTTCAGGACGTGTGCAGCACACTTGGTCTGAAGTCATAACTTTTGTAAATATTTTAACAAAAATTAATCAAAGCAGCCTAGTTCGCCTGTATTTGCTGTTAAAATTGCTGTGTCATTGATGCACCACTTGGGTTTAGAATTAGAACTAGAATTTTCATAGTTGATGTATTTCAAAAAATGCCTGAGACTGTTAGCCGTACTCATGGCACATAATCCTTCTTAAATTGTATGGTCTTAATTATAAGGGTTTGTAAAGATATGATTTAGAGAGAGTATTGATTTGCAGCTATTTAGTGTTGGACAGAGTGTGGGTCATGTGACCTTTTAAGATATTCTATTACACAGACACAATATACAGGCCCTGTAACAGGATAGGAATGTTGATCAAATCTACAGGGTTTGGCAGCAGAAAAGACATTAGCAGAGGCTTCTTCTCATCTGAGGACACTTTCAGTATAAGACAGAAGTTAAATCCCTCTGGAGCCACTAATGATGCTTTAAGTGTTGGAGTGATGTGGTAATGCACAACTGGGACCGCAGTAAATCTCATTTCCCGAAGTGAATCTGGGACCTTGAACAGCCAACATACTTAACCACTAGACTACCACAACTCTCTTGTGAATTCTGTTTATTCTGTTTGTACTAGCATCTATTCTCTGCAATTATTTTGCAGTTTGGAAAAATAAAGTGTAAAATTAAGGATGTGACAGCCATGATCATGAGTTTAATATAATTTTGTTTTCATTATGGAGGGTAGTCTGTACTTTTGATAAACAAATTCACACTGCACCACTTTATGATTATAACATGTTTCATGTAACCATTGTGTTTTACTCAAATCAGATTTTAATTTAGAGACAATAATACCAAGGCATTAGTGTCATTTAGGAGAACATGTTGACTTTACAGGGGCTCCACCTTTCCAAGGATCTCCCACCGGATTTTGCCAAATAGGGAATGATGCTACTGATTTCTTCACTTCTCAAGCCCACGTGACCAGGACACTTGCTTAAGGCAAGGCTGGCAAGCCACCATAATACATACAGTTATGTATGTATGAGTGTATTCATTATCAGTGTTCACTCTATTACTATATTATTGCATTTATTTCCATTAGTGTACAGTATATGCCGACCTCTGTTGTGTTTGTAGGCCTACTGTGTCTTGTCATCAAGGTATTTTGTTTCTCATTGATCTGTGTATTTCATGTCTTTGTGATCTGATTCTGTCTGTTGTAGCCAGATAAAGATTTAATGTGCTGAATCACTGTCAGGATGATAAATAAACATCTGACTTTGTAGTCAATCTAGCAGGTGTTTGAATGAAATTTTGTACACATAGTGGCAGTCATTTATCCACACCTGGTTCTTAAGTCTGATGTCACATCACCGTTTCCGGGTTCAAACACCCCTTCAGATCCCAAAAGCAAATAAGCATATACACCTATATTGTTACCGAAAAAAACATGTTCCTATTAAGTTGGCCACACATTGATTCATATGGCTGTTGAAATAGTATTCTTGAAAAAAAGTGGAGGCTTAGACCCGGAACAGTATTATCACAATTTAACAAGCTGATATTATAGCTCACACCCACATAAACCTGTGCAAAATAAAATAACAAAAGCATCTGACAAATATTAGCATTTATTGTTGCAAATCTCCACACCTGGGTAAATGGTTACATCTCATAATTAGAGGGAAAATTATGCAGTACTGAAATATGCCTTCAGTTGAATGTAGATTATCTTGTGTTCACAGTGTTGTGCTTGTGGAGAACATTCCAGAAGATCTGTCCATCCCATATAAGGACACAGTTTCCCTGACCGCTGGTCTTCATGAGCTGCTGGATAAAGCGCGTCGATCTGTTGAGATTGTGTCACCATGGTGGTCACTGAACTCAACTAAGTCTGGATCAAATCTTCCTCAGGCCAAACAGGTAACAATCAATATACTGCAGTTTCAACACATTTACTGATTACGTCTAGGAACTTTCTTGGTTATGCAGATAATTGTTCAATGACTGAATGTAGAACGTTGAGTGTATTCAAGAGAGTTTCTCCTAAAGAGAGTTGGATTAGTCCCATATGACCTGATTTAAATGTAGCTGTATCTTCTGTCATCCTCAGGGCCAGATCTTACTCCATCAGTTGAAGAGTTTGCGGTCTCGGTCAGTCAGTTTGAGGGTGGCCAGTGGACTAACTAATTCCTCAGAGCTCAATGAGCTCACTCGGAGTGGTAAGTATATGATGTTATTTGACATCCACTGTCTAGCAAAACCATCTTTTAAGACTCTCTGTGTCTGGACCCAAGTGTAAAGAAGCAAAGGCGCAGGAATTCTTTAATAACTCTACATGAATAGGAAACACTCTATAATCAGTAAACCTGCAATCAAGTCCGAAGCACATAAAACACTGCAATGAAACCTAGAGAAATATAATAGAGCAACAAAAGTTAGAACCTATGTTTTTAAGAGCACTCCCGGTGTTTCCACATCTCACAGTTCCCAGTGGACCTTCCTTGAGCTTTGTCCTACTGCCCAGATTCTCCCTGGCCCTCATCTACTTAAGATAGACAAGTGCAACAACAGGCTTTGAAACCCTTGGAAGGACCACTGGATACTCTGGGAACTGGGACTACTGGAGGCGTGGGAGAAGTACTGGACTTGTTAAAGATAACTAGGGCTCAGAGGAGACAGATGGTATAAGAGGGAACACCGGAGGTATTGGGAGAAATACTGAGGGCTCTGGAGACTTCATAGAAAACCTGAGACAAATAAAAAACTTCAGAACTGGAATCTTTGGAATAAATAATAATAATAATAATTCATTACATTTATATAGCGCTTTTCTTGGCACTCAAAGCGCTTTACATAGAAGGGGGAATCTCCTCAACCACCACCAATGTGCAGCATCCACCTGGATGATGCGACGGCAGCCATATTGCGCCAGAACGCCCACCACACACCAGCTTACTGGTGGAGAGGAGACATAGTGATGAAGCCAATTGGTATATGCATATATGGGGATGGTTAGGAGGCCATGATGGACAGAGGCCACTGGGCAAATTTGGCCAGGATGCTGGGGTTACACCCCTACTCTTTCGAAAGACATCCTGGGATTTTTTGTGACCACAGAGAGTCAGGGCCTCAGTTTAACGTCTCATCCGAAGGACGGTGCTCTTTGACAGTATAGTGTCCCCATTACTATACTGGGGCATTAGGACCCACACAGACCACAGGGTGAGCGCCCCCTGCTGGCCTTACTAACACCTCTTCCAGCAGCAACCTGGTTTTCTCAGGAGGTCTCCCATCCAGGTACTAACCAGGCTCAGCCCTGCTTAGCTTCAGTGGGCAACCAGTCTTGGGCTACAGGGTGATATGGCTGCTGGTCTCTTAAACCCCAGGGACTTGACTTGAGGATGAGGGCATGGGGAGTCTGGAGGAGCAGGAGAGTCAGGAAGACCAGTCTCGGCAGCTCTCAAGAAAACAAAGAGGACTCATGGCATCAAGTTCTCTTTAGGGCTTTGTATTCTCATCAGCTGGTGAAACAGGCTCAGGCAGATATGGAAGCTTCTCAGTGGAACTGCATGATGGGTCAGATCAACTGCACAGAAACACTCCACTGAAAGCTTGCAGACCTGCTGGATGTCTATCACATGCATATGATTGGTCAGTAATACTTGTGCAGTTAGCCAGGTTCAATATAACTATGTGATCAGGGTTTGAAATTAACACCTGCCAACCCACCAAATGCAGGTAAAGATCAGCTGTGGCAGGTAACGCTGTCAAGTCACGAGCCAATTTGGTGGGTTACTTATAATGTTTACGTGTAGCCAAATCTGTGTAGATTTAACGCAAATACTCAACTCGTGAGTCATCATGATATATTAAATACAGCGTACTGCACAAAATCTGCGCATATCTGGCTTACTTGAACACACACAACTACGCAACAAATAACCGCACTCTTGTTCATTTGCATTGAAGCAATAGCGAAGATTAAAAAGCATTTGGTTAACAGAAAAGACATTTTTATTTTCCAACATCCTACTTTATGATCTTTGTACTGTATTGATCTGTCCATCTAAAACATATTTTTGTTGAAAAGGATGAGGATCCTTTAAGGATAAGGATGAGAAAAAGGAAGGGAGGAGATGCTGGATGACAGGATTTTGTTTGAATAAGTACCAGTTAATCTGGTTTATTTCCTCTTCTTTTTTTGGCCAGTAGAAACTCTGAATTGCTGGTAACTTAAAAATTTAGTAGCCAAATTAGCCAGAGAGTGAAAAAGTTAATTTCAAACCCTGTATGTGATTATTGGGTCTATTGGGCTTATCCAATAATAAATTAAAAACACTATAAACGTATTTCATATAAGTCAGTTTTGGGTATAGAATGGGGAAAAAAGTGAAAATCATAAAAGTATAACTGCGTCTTGTCATGAAATAGTCTGTATTTTGTGTCATGTAAGTAATTTGCTCAGGCTGTGAAATTAGGCAGGTCACACTTGGCGCCCCATACTTTTATCACTTGAGCACATGCACTTGATGGCACCTTGTGTGAAAAATATTGAGAACGATTGGCATTGGTTATTCAACAGAGTGACTGTTTGTTCATTGGCCAATCAGGTGCAGACGTGCATTACGTGAACATGACAGCCCTCAGTAGAGGTCAGCTGAACTCCTCCTTCTGGCTGGTGGACCGGAAGCACATGTACATCGGAAGTGCCGGCATGGACTGGAGATCCCTATCCACGGTAAAGACACCTCTATACTCAAGTGCAAAGCTTTAAATGTCCCTGTGTTTACCTGGATGGCAATAGTCTGGATATTAAAACAATATAAACTTAAATAACCTTAACCTGAATAAGGCTTTTGTTTCAATGTTGAATATGGTTGAAAATGGCATTATGCTGTAACTGGAACATAACCCTGTTTTGAAGTTTTGTGGCATTATGCACCAGTTGAACCAGTTTCCAGCTCTGGAGCTAGACTGTCACGCTGTGTCCCTCTGGGGGTGCTCTCTCAGGAAGTCCCTCTGGGGGTGCTCCCTCAGGAAGTCCCTCTGGGGGTGCTCCCTCAGGAAGTCCCTCTGGGGGTGCTCCCTCAGGAAGTCCCTCTGGGGGTGATCTCTCAGGAAGTCCCTCTGGGGGTGATCTCTCAGGAAGTCCCTCTGGGGGTGCTCCCTCAGGAAGTCCCTCTGGGGGTGCTCTCTCAGGAAGTCCCTCTGGGGGTGCTCCCTCAGGAAGTCCCTCTGGGGGTGCTCTCTCAGGAAGTCCCTCTGGGGGTGCTCTCTCAGGAAGTCCCTCGGGGGGTGCTCTCTCAGGAAGTCCCTCAGGGGGTGATCTCTCAGGAAGTCCCTCTGGGGGTGCTCTCTCAGGAAATCCCTCTGGGGGTGCTCTCTCAGGAAGTCCCTCTGGGGGTGCTCTCTCACGAAGTCCCTCTGGGGGTGCTCCCTCAGGAAGTCCCTCTGGGGGTGATCTCTCATGAAGTCCCTCTGGGGGTGATCTCTCAGGAAGTCCCTCTGGGGGTGCTCTCTCAGGAAGTCCCTCTGGGGGTGCTCTCTCACAAAGTCCCTCTGGGGGTGCTCTCTCAGGAAGTCCCTCTGGGGGTGCTCTCTCAGGAAGTCCCTCTGGGGGTGCTCTCTCAGGAAGTCCCTCTGGGGGTGATCTCTCAGGAAGTCCCTCTGGGGGTGATCTCTCAGGAAGTCCCTCTGGGGGTGCTCTCTCAGGAAGTCCCTCTGGGGGTGATCTCTCAGGAAGTCCCTCTGGGGGTGATCTCTCAGGAAGTCCCTCTGGGGGTGCTCTCGCAGGAAGTCCCTCTGGGGGTGCTCTCTCAGGAAGTCCCTCTGGGGGTGATCTCTCCGGAAGTCCCTCTGGGGGTGATCTCTCAGGAAGTCCCTCTGGGGGTGCTCTCTCACAAAGTCCCTCTGGGGGTGCTCTCTCAGGAAGTCCCTCTGGGGGTGCTCTCTCAGGAAGTCCCTCTGGGGGTGCTCTCTCAGGAAGTCCCTCTGGGGGTGATCTCTCAGGAAGTCCCTCTGGGGGTGATCTCTCAGGAAGTCCCTCTGGGGGTGCTCTCTCAGGAAGTCCCTCTGGGGGTGATCTCTCAGGAAGTCCCTCTGGGGGTGATCTCTCAGGAAGTCCCTCTGGGGGTGCTCTCTCAGGAAGTCCCTCTGGGGGTGCTCTCTCAGGAAGTCCCTCTGGGGGTGATCTCTCAGGAAGTCCCTCTGGGGGTGATCTCTCAGGAAGTCCCTCTGGGGGTGATCTCTCAGGAAGTCCCTCTGGGGGTGCTCTCTCACAAAGTCCCTCTGGGGGTGCTCTCTCACAAAGTCCCTCTGGGGGTGCTCTCTCAGGAAGTCCCTCTGGGGGTGATCTCTCAGGAAGTCCCTCTGGGGGTGCTCTCTCAGGAAGTCCCTCTGGGGGTGCTCTCTCAGGAAGTCCCTCTTGGGGTGCTCTCTCACAAAGGCGCCAAGGTGATCTGGGCGCCAAGGTGATCTCTCAGGAAGTCCCTCTGGGGGTGATCTCTCAGGAAGTCCCTCTGGGGGTGCTCTCTCACGAAGTGCCTCTGGGGGTGCTCTCTCACGAAGTCCCTCTGGGGGTGCTCTCTCACGAAGTCCCTCTGGGGGTGCTCTCTCACGAAGGCGCCAAGGTGATCTGGGCGCCAAGGTGATCTCTCAGGAAGTCCCTCTGGGGGTGATCTCTCAGGAAGTCCCTCTGGGGGTGCTCTCTCACGAAGTCCCTCTGGGGGTGCTCTCTCACGAAGTCCCTCTGGGGGTGCTCTCTCAGGAAGTCCCTCTGGGGGTGATCTCTCAGGAAGTCCCTCTGGGGGTGCTCTCTCAGGAAGTCTCAGGATGTCCCTCTGGGGGTGATCTCTCAGGAAGTCCCTCTGGGGGTGCTCCCTCAGGAAGTCCCTCTGGGGGTGCTCTCTCAGGAAGAAAGGGCAGTTCCCTGAGGTACAGAAGCGGAAAAACCTTCTTTTATTTGAAGTTGATTTCTGGCGGTGTGGCTTTAAGTCAGTTTTAGTTGTTGTGTTTCATTTTCTAAGAGTGCAAGCATGATGTTGAACCTACATCACATTGTAACATTGATTCAATGATGAAATTAAAATATATATATATTTAAACAATTGCGGGTGCAAAAGTGATGTTGATTCAATGCGGTTAACATTGACACATTAACTTTGGTTTAACATTGTCTCGATGATTACTTGCTATCTAAGGCACAAAGATGTACTTCTTCGCTTTTGTACCTTAGGGTTCTGCCCACCTTTTCTCCTGAAAGTGTGTATGAATAACAAATTGCATTTCTGTTACAATAAACATTTCAAGTATTGCAAAGTTTTTTTTATAGTTACTAGTAAGTTTTAAGTAGCCTTAAAAACTAGTACTGTACGTTTTTTAAATTCACTCCAATACTACATGTTGCTTTACTAAGTTTAGTTAGTCCATTTGGTAATTAATGTGTAGTGTGTTATGGCATGTTCTTCCTCGTGTTTGTTCTGGAGAGTGAGGTGACGTGTTATTTCTACAGATGAAGGAGTTTGGCATCATCATTCACAACTGCAGCTGTCTAGTGTTGGACCTGCACCGGATATTCAGCCTTTACTGGCAACTGCAGTATAAAGACTTTCTGCCGTCGATATGGTCAAAGAGACTGACCGCACTGTATAACAAAGACAAGCTCCTGCAACTGAGTCTGAACGGCACTGAAGCAGAGGCATACATTTCTGTAAGTCGAGTGAGAGGGGTTTTTCATTTCTAGTGCAAGCCAGAAAATCCTGGTACACGGAAATTATCCTTCATTTGATTTGCTCCGCGGTAATGATGCTTTATTTGTTTGTTAGTACAGGCGCACTACAGTATACATAGAGTGGGTTAGATATGCAAGATTAATGATGTTTTGTTTTCTGCGCCGTTTACAGAAGAGAGATTTGCTATTATAGATTTACAGATAAAGGTCTCCATTGCCTAATATCCTGTTCAATCAATGAAGTCCTCACAGAAAATGAACAAGAAGCGTGTATTTCATCAACATGATGGCCACAGTCAGTCAGGCTTCCAGCTTCACTCTTGATCAAATATCTTCCTGTGACGTGTGATATATTTCAGAGGAGAGAATGATCAATCATTGCCTCTCTCGAGGTCATGCACTGAACCCACTGTGAATAAAAGCGCCACATGAGAGTTAAAGTCCTCCTATGGTGTAAACCCAGCTTTTAATGTTGTTTATGTGTCTATGTGGTGTTTTCAATACGCTTTAAGACAAACCATGTGTCGTTCATAAGTCGACAGCATTGCTGAGTATTTCCTCCTTAAAACTGCAGTGAACCAAAGACAGTCTCAAAAACACGGTTTGAAATCGCTGGTGTTTCTGACGTCACAAACGACCTTGTAACCAATCAGATCAACGTGTGATCGTCAACCAGTGGATCTCTGAGCTGAGTGAGTGAGTGGAGGCGGGGCTCATTTGCATATTCATAGAACCACACATACTAAATGAGGCAAGGGTGTCGAGTTACATTCAAGATATTTTAAGGCATGAAGACATTTGTAGGAAAAAAACATTTAAATATGTAATTTTGGTGATCACAGATGAGTTTTAAGGGATAAACTGATTGACTACAGGGGGACTTTAAGGTCTCGTGTAATGCGTGTTTGGTGGCGATTCTCCCTTGAGCTTTAGCCCAGTGTTGGTCATAGTTTTCCTGTGCAGTTTAGAGATTTTTCTAACCTCACTGTATGTAAATAAACTGCAAATATTAGGACTGAATAAAGTTGACTACACTGGGTTACACCCCTGAAAGTGAGAGAGGAGAAGCTGCAAAACATGTTTCCATTTATGGATTTTTCCCCACCGTTTGTTGTGCTAGAGTTCTCCAGATGTTTTCTGCCCAAAAGACCGGATGAAAGATATCGAGGCCATTAAAAGGGTCATTCAGGAGGCCAAGACATTTATCTACATCTCCATACCCGACTATTTACCAATGCTCAACCGCACCAAACCCAAGTGAGTCCTGTTAAACAATGGCTGACCAATAATATCTGCTATAATATACAGTCAAACTAAATATTATTCAGACACCAGATATAATTGTTGATATTGTTTCACTAGTGTGTGCAGGACACTATAGTTCATTTATGTAAGTGAGGAGAGCAGAATAAAGTAAACTGACATATTATACACAAATATTCTTCATACAGTGACTACCAGTAACATTTATAAGAATTTGGGACCAAATATTATTCAGACACTTTGAGCTGATCATGTTTTGCTGAAGTGTGTTTTCTGTAACTGCTAATGCTCTTTTTACACACAGACTGAACAACATGAAGCATTGCTTGGTCACTGGTTGAGCTAAACTGGTATTATCTAATTGTGTAGTTAAATTTAACAGCTGACAGATATTCAACATAATTCATGTGTGAGAGTCTAACAGAAGGACGGACAAAACCAGTCAAATATCCACTGATCTGAGAACTCTGAGTTCTGCTCATATTTATAATGTGAGATAATGTGAGAAATGTTGAAGGTGTTTGAATAAATGTAGGTTTGACTGTATTTCAGTGATTTATTAACCTGACTTCGTCATACTCATATTCTAGAAAGAATGTGAGTCTGAAACTGATCCATTGGGCTGTGATTATGGGGCGTGTTTCAACCGGTTTCAACCGAACCAGAAAAGAAAATGCCTCTGCATTCAATTGGATAGACCTACAACCAATCAGAGCAACGGATTAAATGACGCATGTTCTTCATTCATCTTTCCGACCGACAAATGCCTTGATCGCGGTTCTCTGTTCCTCTTTTAAAAGCAATGCGCGGTCGATATCTTCTATAACAGACGCGATGGCGGAATATACACAGGATTATTGTTATTTCATAAACAAAGTTCGGGAGGAGCACGTTCAAATAATCAATCCAATCAACTTGTCATCAAACAATAACATGTCTAACGTTACCCTATCAGCATGAGAGGAAGCATATTCACTCCAACTCACCTAACACTCCTCGACAGTTTTTCAGCATCCCTCCACCCCCCCGAATCCTCACTCTTGGCTTGTTCTTTCACAGCCAGGAATACGGGGAGTACTCTGGGTTCGGGCCGAATACTTATCACGGAGCCCTCTCCTCGGACAGCACGTCATATACGCATTTATTCTATCTGACTTATTTGTAAGTGTGAACTCGTGAAATCTCAATTCTCCAGCGGCAGAACTTTGTTGTAAACGAATTCAACCCAAGCGCTCTTTGGTGACGTGAGGATTACGTAACTGCACCTCATCTGTCAATCATCGTATAAAGCCCGCCCTGGCAATTTGATTGGTCCGAACATTTTTTGACTGATCATAATTACTCCTCAATGGATCAAGTCCAGACCGAACTTCCCGACCAAAAATTGTTGTGGGCGGGGTTCGGGCTGGCAGCCAGGCTAGTGATTTATATGACGCTTGCAAAGAAATGGATTCTGTCAGAATACATGACTAGAACATTTCCACCAGACAGGCTTTTACAGCACAACCAACCCGTTCTGTAAAGGTTGTGAACAAACGTTCTTCCAAACATTCATTCAAAGTTATCTGGTCTTTAATAATTTTCTCAAAACATTAGCAGAAAAACATTATTTATATTTGGATGTACATTTAATGGTTTTTAAATGTTTGCTTGACATCAAAGACGGATATGTTCATTACACACATTGATTGTGAGATTGTGACGCTGGCAGAAGACATGTTCCTGGATCAACATATTTTATTGATCCTGGAACAACATTCCTGTCTGAAAATGTAGTCCTAACCTTATCCACTATCCCTATCCCTATCCCTAAGCCTAACCGTAACTTATCCCTATCCCTATCCCTAACCCTAATCTTATCCCTATCCCTAAGCCTAAACGTAACTTATCCCTATCCCTAACCCTAATCTTATCCCTATCCCTAACCCTAACCATAACTTATCCCCAAAATCAGAGGGAACTGATGGTGAATCACACTGATGTAGAAGCCCCTAACCCTGGTTTTAAGCCTAAACTTGACATAAACTGTAAACTTGCCTCTTAAATCTGATTGGTCGATTGGAATGTTGTTCCAAGATCATGTTGTACTCAGTGAATCACGTTCACCTGCAATATAATAAGTGATGGCATCTACCATGCAGCAGTTCTAATGGGATCGTCAGTGGCGGATTTAGCAAATTGGGGGCCCAAGGCGAAGGTAGTATGGGGCCCCCCATCCGATCTTTAAAAGAGAACGAAAAAAGTAAAAAAAAAAAATTGAAAAATAAACCATTAAATGGCACTTTCTGGAGAGTTTCGTGCAAAGAAATATAGAAAAAAGGTCGTCTAGCAAGTCTTATATTTCTGTAATTCACACAGATCAAACACAAATATGCTGACTGAATAGATTGCTAGTTGAGAAACACTGCTTTAATTAATGTTTTAATGATGAATTTGTGAAAGGTTAACTAAACAGCATGAGCTGTCTTCCTGCTAGCCAGTGAGTTATTTGGCAAATTTCATTCATTCAGATCTGTATTATGCTATAGTTTTTGATAGTGTTATACATTTCTTACAGATAATCACGATGATCATTGCGTTTGTCTTACCGAATGTGGTAGCTTTATGCAATTACAGTTTGTCTATAAGCTTTTTTTGTATTAATGCCGAGAGTAAAATGTTGCCAGATTGCTACGAAAAACAAGAAAAACAAAACAGAATAATAATCCGAAATAAGTTCAAAGCTTGTGTTTTGGAAATAAGATTAATATATCACTAACCCTAACATGCAACTTTCCACTTTAATAACTTCCTAAAGTGTCACATTAAATCAGAAAAACAGGTCCAGGAGACTACTGCCACCTTTCCATTAGTGGATCTGGCAACACGGCGGCTGCACCCGCGCCCTCACTCACAGCGCGCTCTCAAGCCCCGTTCACTGGGCTAGCTTCTCGCAGCAACATGAATTGCAAACACTCATATGAGGTGGTTTAAACGGCTAATTAATCATTCAGAGAGCTTGACATTTTATTTTTGAATGTAAAAAAACGACAGAGGTCCGGACCTCGGTGACCTCATAGCTGGCTACGGCCATGGACTTGTAACATATCGTTAGCATTGTTGTCATTGTCAGCGGGCATCACAAAAAAGTTTGTTACCTTCTGCAATTTTGCTAAAAACGTTTTGCTTTCCTCCCGCTTCCTGCTTTTTCGGCACCGCTTGGGTAGCTTCGCTTCATTTTTACTCTGTCTACTACTCTGTACACTCTGTCTGTCACTCTGTACACTGTCTGTCAATCACTTCTTTTTCTACGTCAGTTCTTTTGGCGCATTACAGCCTTGTCACTTTCGCACGCAGAAAGTGAGATAATGGAATAGTCCAATGTAGTGAGGTGGGGGCCCCCTCCTGTCTGCGACACTAATGATTTGATGCCTTTTTTCGCAAATGTTTTTTAGAAATATATAATTTACAAAAAAAAAATACAAAAAAAAAAACTTAAGCATAATTTAATGGGGCATTTTGGGGGCCCCTAGGTAGCTCGGGGCCCAAGGCAATTGCCGACCTTTTGCCTAATGGTTAAGTCCGCCCCTGGGGATCGGGCCTCATTTACACCTGTTCTGTTCACGCTTACGCTGTGTTCCTCACAGGTACTGGTCGCTGATTGATAACATGCTCCGAGAAGCCCTGGTCCTGAAGGCAAGGCTCGAGGTGCGAGTGTTGATCAGCTGCGGGGACGAGACCGAGCCGCTGACGCGTAACTTTCTGTGGTCGCTGAAAGCGCTGTGTGTAGAGTCGCTCAGATGCTCACTGGAGGCGGTCAGTGTGTGTGTTCACCACAGATTAACACACTCACATGGCAAAGGCTATTATTGTAGTTTATTATGAAAGAAGAAGCGAGACTCATTCTGCAGGTTATCATCATCATGCCAGTAGGTGGCGACAGGTGGCTGGCATTAAATCAAACAATTCATTCAAATTGCTGATTCATTCATGAACCAAAGAAGTTGGTTCTTCTGAGTACACACTAAACTGAAAACACACTTAAAAAGATTACGGTGAAAAATATGGCAGAAAGAAATTTACCGTAAAAAAAATGGTTGCAACATTTTAGATTTTAAATTAAGTTAAGACTTAACTTAAATTTACTGTAAAAAAAAACACATTTCATTATCTGAAATAATGTTAATTTACCAACCTACTTTGAAATACTAATATCTGTTTTGTACCATTGTAATACACTGTCAACCACCAATCACAGCGGTGATGAGAGTCACATGATCAACCAAAGCTCATCACAAGCAGCTTTTCCACAAGAAAGATAATATTGATATATAGAAGCTGCACAGTGTCATACATACACACACTGAACACCATCATGGTAACACACATGACATTTTTTAAAAATGCAATAAACATTAATTTAACAACATTAATGTAACATAAACCCTTATGTACATAACTGATTAGAAAAAACTATTAAGAAACATCAAATGTGAAGTGTCACGCAGGGAATTGTGGGAATGTCAATTTACGTTTTTTCAATGTAAATTATACAATGACTTGTTCTTTTTCACGTCCAAAAACAGTCAATTTAACAGTATTGTACCGGTTAAATTTACTGTTAGATCTATCACAGTTGTTTACCGTATATAACTTTCTGTTAACCAATTAACAGTTTTTCACCTTAGCATTTTTACAGTCTTTCATTTTCTACAGAGTACTGTACTGTTGTTCTTGTAGAAGTTCTTCATTCCTCGTGAGCAGAGCGATGGACGTCTCTCCAGGATCAACCGCAGCAGATTCATGGTGACAGACAGCTCTGTGTATCTCGGTGAGAACACCCGCTGATGTAATCGTGTAACTTAGAACATGCAGGACTTTTACCCTTGTGATACAGAAATCTTATAAAAGTACAGAAATTATTTAAATAACAGTAAAAACTATACGCAGTAGTATGCATGACCAAGAAGGCGACAACACACAATAAATGTAGCTTACATGGCTAGGTGGAACGTAACAATCTGGCGCCCCCTGGCTGGCCAGCAAATAAACAGTGAGAGGCTATAACACGAATTATCCTAATGAAGTCATATCTAACACAGCTCACAATCACACGTGAGATTTACACAGCAAGGGCAAATAGCAGGTATAACAACATACAGGTGTAAGCTCTCCAAAATAAACCCCACACATCAAGAGATATAAATCTGCAACTACATTAGTTCAATTAATAGTAGCCTTCGAACTATTTTACTCCATTGTGGAAGATGACATGAACAGTTGACAAATAAAACATAGGCAAGCAGCCACAATAACTATGCCATTAAGCCAAGGAAAATGCAAACAAGCAAAATATAACAGTTATATGCATTTAGCAGAGTTTCATGAAACACAGTCAACCATCCTTCACTCACGACCCCGCCCACTCGGCGCTCATAGTGCACACGGAAGACGCTAACGGCGAGAAAGCGGTAATCTGCAGTTGCACACACAATTCACGGCTTTGGACAATTTCCAGTACACTCCAAGTGGCCAGCGGGGAAACCGTAACCATCCGAGCTGCAAAACAGGGGAAGGGAAATCAGTTCTAAACAGATACACGTCAGTGCACACTCATTCGTAAGTGATAAGAATTCCCACTTTCCTCAAACAGGACGAATAGAGCGCGTTGGTTGATATCGTAGACCTTTAGCTGCCAGGAGTCAATCGAGATGGTTGTTACTGCGTGGAGTCATACATCCAAAGATTCATAAGCACGGAGACAGTCAGGCTTTTCGCGTTTCGGCGTCTGTCGCGGTGAAGAAGCACACTGGGGGAGGACTGCCTGCTGGCTTTTATTCAGTGGATCTGCCAATCGTGTTGTACTGCTGGTTCATCAGTACTATTAGACGCACCTGTGAACAGAGACTTGCAGATACACATGCACACCTGATAGACATTAACCCAGCCTCACAGGTTGTCAAACAGTCAGTGTTGCCCTCCCGTTACACTGATAATGCCATATTCGTTGCGATTTGAATTGAGAAAGGGTGCAAAAGGTGTTTAAGGCTTCTTCTCCTAAACCCTGTCTCTGTGTCCTCAGGGAATCTGGACTGGGTGGGGAAGGAGATGGCCTTCAGCGCTGGCGTCGGGGTGGTGATCCGGCAGCGGCTCAGCGAGAACAACACCGTGGTGGAGCGGATGAAAGCTGTGTTTGAGCGAGACTGGCATTCCCACTACACTAAAACTCTGGATCCAAACAAGATCCCAGTATGCAGCACACACACAGTCAAGGACACCAGCATCTGAAAACACACGCACAACATTAACTTTCCAACGCAGATCGGCTGTTTCTTTTGCACTTTGAGTTCAAACAGCGTTCAACAAAGCAAGGCATCTCATGCTATCTGATCATGTTTTGTATGCTAATATGTATTTTGCTATTCCGTTTGCCCATTTTTTCCACCTGTATGAAGATCTTCATGATTTTCTCCACCTGTATGAAGATCTTCATGTCAGCGATGCGCTCAGACTCGCCGCTGCATCAGTGCTGCATCCCTCGACTGGGTCTGGCGTGTTCTCCCGAGAGAGGGATGTATGAGGAAATGAAAGGAAAACCCCATTATAAGCGGCAGACGCTCGCGAGTCGGCTGGCCACACACACACTAATGATCTTAATGCCACGTGGAAACCTTTGCTTTGAGATGTTTGTCTCTGCGTAAGTGTTGCACTGAGACTTGTGCAATGTTTTATCAATCTGACTCACTTTGTAGCATACAGAATCTCCTATGCATTATCAAGCACTGTATTTGACATGATTACATTTTTAAATGCAGGTTTACAAGATCTTTCTACAGATTTTCATATCTCATCTTGTTTTTTTTAGCTGATTCAGAGTACTGTGTAAGATACATTTAAAGTCAAATATTATCAGAGTTTTATTCTAATTTTCACATGCATGTTGATTTAATGCATGTTGAAATATATGCTGGTAAATTAGCAGTTGATTTATTTGTACTTTGTATTTTTTTAAAATCATGACTGTCCTTCAGTGAACATGTATTTTCTTTATATTTTGTGTTAGAAATAATAAAAGGAAATATTATTTGAATTATTAAAAATGCATTTTTAATTTATAAGTTATATAAATAAATATATTCAAGTTACAAATGTGTTATGATATTTACAGCAATGTCTGATGCACATTAGATGCTTCACAGCCACAACTGTTTTAAAGCGGTCATGAATTGAAAAAAAAATGTCCTTGATCTTTAGATAATAATACTATAAGAATAAATTGATTGATTGTGTCTGTGGGGAACTGATTGGATGGTTGTTTGCTATTGGCTGATCTCATGTGAGTGACAGGTTATAGCCCCACCCACATCATCAGAGAAGAGATGCTGTAAGAGGAAGATATTCTGATTCAAGATTATTAAAACAATAATGATGTGCACTAATCAATCATTTATAGTGAACACTGCAATATTCCATAAAAAACTAGAACTGTCCGTTTTGATGTCATGGTCCCTTTAAATGTCCACTCGAGGCTTCTTCATCCTCCGGCTCAGAGGCGGCAGTGCAGCTCTGTAATCTCCGAAGAAGAGAAGAAGCAGCAGAAGAAGAAGAAGCAGTGACGCCGCAGTGACGCCATCGGTTGCTATGGTCGCAGATTATGTTGCACATCACATCCGGGGTGCTCGCGTTTGAGTCTAACACGTCTTTAACACACTCCTGACAGGAGCGCAGTGGTGTGTGTCTGTCTGGTGTGTGTGTGGGGATGTGAGCGCGATGGCCGAGGACAGTGAGTGGGTGCCGGAGAGCGTCGCGGGGTTCCTGGGCAGCCCAGACTGGCTCATCCCGCTAGCGGACTTCATGGAGAACCACTGCTCAGGTGTGTGTGTGTGTGTGTGTGTGTGTGTGTGTGTGTGTGTGTGTGTGTGTGTGTGTGTGTTCGTTCATGGAGAACCACTGCTCAGGTGTGTGTGTGTGTGTGTGTGTTCGTTCATGGAGAACCACTGCTCAGGTGTGTGTGTGTGTGTGTTTTCATGGAGAACCACTGCTCCAGGTGTGTGCGTGTGTGTGTGTGTGTGTGTGTGTTTTCATGGAGAACCACTGCTCAGGTGTGTGTGTGTGTGTGTGTGTGTGTGGTGTGTGCGTGTGTGTGTGTGTGTGTGTGTGTGTGTGTGTGTGTGTGTGTGTGTGTGTGTGTGTGTTCGTTCATGGAGAACAACTGCTCGGGTATGAGGACACGTGTGTGTGTGTGTGTGTGTGTGTGTGTGTGTGTGTGTGTGTGTGTGTGTGTGTGTGTTTTCATGGAGAACCACTGCTCCAGGTGTGTGTGTGTGTGTGTGTGTGTGTGTGTGTTTTCATGGAGAACAACTGCTCCAGGTGTGTGTGTGTGTGTGTGTGTGTGTGTGTGTGTTTTCATGGAGAACCACTGCTCCAGGTGTGTGTGTGTGTGTGTGTGTGTGTGTGTTTTCATGGAGAACAACTGCTCCAGGTGTGTGTGTGTGTGTGTGTGTGTGTGTGTGTGTGTGTTTTCATGGAGAACAACTGTTAAGGTAAGAACACACTGTCACTGAGTCTCCTCTATAACACAGGTGTGTGTGTGTGTGTGTGTGTGTTTCAGTGTTCGACGATGAGGACGAGAATAAGCTGAGCTACACAGAGGTCCATCAGCAGTACAAGCATCTGGTGAGCGCGAGCATCACGAACATCATATACGCTGGTCAGAGCTGTGATTGACAGCTGCTGCTGTGATTGACAGGTGGAGCGGCTGCTGGAGAACTACATGCAGGAGGTGGGCATCAGTGAGCAGCAGTTCCTGTGCGCGTGCTCGTCCTTCACCGGCTCGAAAGATCTACAGGTGAGCGACGACACGAGTCACATCACATCATCATCATCACATCATCATCATCATCATCATCATCATCACATCATCATCATCACATCATCATCACATCAGTCGTGGGCGGGATCTATGCAAATACAGCAGAGTCTGTCAGCAGTCGTGGGCGGGGTCTATGCTAATACAGCAGAGTCCGTCAGCAGTTGTGGGCGGGGCTATGCTAATACAGCAGAGTCTGTCAGCAGTTGTGGGCGGGGCCTATGCTAATTCAGCAGAGTCCGTCAGCAGGTGTGGGCGGGGCCTATGTGATGTCACACTGCTAGATTCTGCAAACGGCTTGTTCTGAGACACTGCTTATGATTTATGGGTATTTAAAAGGAGTGGGTGGATTTTTATGATTATAGGGTGCTTGTGTTCATACACTGCCAACACACATGTATGTTCAAACACTATGTAATAGGGAAATTTGCATAATAGGTCCACTTTAATGATTAACAGTTAATGATGTATATCTGTTTTTGGAGGTAAAAAGAACAAACCATCTAATGATTTACAGTGAAACACTGAACTGACAATCTTCTATATATCAGTGTTGATCTCAGCTGGTGGAGAAGTTGGTTCATCCTGTGGCTTTTCTCTTTTCCGTCAGTGCTATTATGGACGTCAGTAAATGTTCACCGGCTGCTGGGTTTACTGGTTAACATCTTGACATCTTTCTCTCTTCTGAACACCATAATCAATCACTCAATATTGTTTTTCCTCTTTTGTAAAGTCATAGCATGAGCAAATCGAGTTTGTTGTAGTTTCCGTTCAGCACTCTCGTGTCGTCCCCGAGGCCTGTACTCGTGGACACTGGTGAAGGATGCGTTCATAACGCTTGTGTTGTGTAGCACGAAACATCCCTCCAGCAGAGCTCGAGTGTGGAGACACGCAGGAGATTAGTTAACTGGGTTAGTGAGACTGACCTGAACTAGATCACAGACCTGGAATCAGCTGACCGGCTGAAGTCAGTCCTGCCGCAGCATTAATGCAAACACACCCGTCCCGAGTCCCGACCGACTCAAAGCCGCCGCAAATGAAGAGGACGACATAGTGATGGGTTTGCAGAAATATACATTTATTAACATAAATAGGAAAATATATTAAACAAGTAAACATGGTCATCTGTAATGTCTGTCAGGTGCATGGATGTGAGTGTATCAACCACAGAAAACAAAATACTAAAGCAAATTTACCCTAAGAACAAACCAGACCCAACTCAAAATCAAAGTAACCCTGAGAAAGACCTCTAGCCTAAACATTTATAGAGGGATGAAGAGGTGGACATCGTTCGCTGGATGAGTCTCCTAGCCACACACACTAGCCGGCCGTAGCAGGAAGAGTAGAGAGACTCGTCACACCGTAAAGAAGATCCTGAGTGGGTTCACAGCGGACGTTCACACAGACCCAATCAGATTTGAGCTTGGTGGGTCACATGTCCAGAGTATTATTCAGCAATCATCCACAGTTTTTCTCAGTCGGCCCTCTTCTGTAGTTCTTTCTCTTCTGCTCATATTCATATTCAGGAATATTGTTGATCTGGCACTATCAGGTGAGAGCTGAACTTGAACTGAATTGATCTGAATAATGACTATTGTTTTTAATTGGTGCCTCTATAAGTCAGTGTCATGATGGCACTGCGTTCTCCTCTTTAAACAGGCAGTCTTCCAGCCAGTTCTTGCTACAGATGATTTCCAGATGTTTCGCTCTCTGATGGTCCAGAAGAACATGGAGCTTCAGCTGCAGGCTCTGCATGTCATCAAAGAGAGAAACGGTATTCAGATAAGCGTGTTTATAATGTATGTTCACATGAGAGTGTGTTTGTCTTTAGGGCTGTCAAAGCATGAACACGTGTGACATTTATTACATTTTACATGCTGACTGATTCATTCACGGCTGGTTTTCGGTCTCCCATATGGAAGCTTGTTTCCACCATGAAAAAAATAATAATAATAATCGCGTCTTATCTTGCAATTCTCATTTTTGCGAGATTTGCGAGATATAAACGTAATTGCAAGAAAAAAGTCAGAATTGTGACATATAATATCGTTATTGCAAGAAAAAAGTCAGAATTACGAGATATAATCTCGTAATTAGGAGAAAAAAAGTCAGAATTGAGAGATATCAACTTGTAATTGCAAGAAAAAAGTCTGAATTGCAAGAAATAAATTGCAAAATATAAACTCAGAATTGCGAGAAAAAAGTCATAATTGTGAGAGAAACTTGCAATTGAGAAAAATGTCAGAATTACGAGATATAAACTCCTAATTGCTAGAAAAAAAGTCAGAGTTGCGAGAAACAAGTCAATTGTGAGATATAAATTCGAAGGATATAAATTCAAGGAAGGCAGAATGTTTCTTCCAAACTCACATCAGTTCCTTTAACTGAATGTTATCGGCAGAAGTCCTGTCACAAATTACAAATAATCACGATAAATCATCATATTAGAGTGATTTCTGAAGGATCATGTGACACTGAAGACTGGAGTAATGATGCTGAAAATTCAGCGTTCATCTGGAATAAATTACACTTTACTAGAAAACAGCTGATTTACACTGGAGTAATATTTCATGGTTTTTACTGTATTTTTGATGAAATAAATGCTATGGAAGCTTGTTTCTGCCACAGAATGAAAAATAGAAAAGGCAATTGCAACTTTTTATCTCACAATTCTGACTTTTTCTCTCACAATTGTGAGTTTACATTTACATCATGCATGATATAGAGTAGCAATTGTGTGTTATAAAGTCAGAATTATGAGATATAAAGTCGCAATTGCGAGAAATAAACTTGAAATTCTGACTTTCTAACACGCAATTGTGAGATGAAAAAGTCGCAATTATCTTTTAAAATGTTTTATTCTGTGGCGGAAACAAGCTTCCATAAATTGCAGCCTTGGTGAGCAGAAGAGAAACATTAATAAATCTATTGCAACAGTTTGAGCGGCGGTGTGTGTGTGTGTTTCAGGCGGGCTGCCCGAGTGTCTGACCGACGGCGTGGACGTCATGAGTGAACTGGAGCAGCAGGAGATGAAGATTCTTCAGGAGGTTCTCCAGTAAGTTCACCTCATTACCTGCATCACACCGGCTGCTTATATAATGACACGCATGAATGAGAGCGGATATTACATGCACTCGCTCATTAACTTTGATCAAACACGTTCCAGGACTGCAGTGTTGAGAATCTCTACAGTGGCCCGTTTTAGAAATCATTTATCACAGTGCAGAGTTGAGGCATGATTTACAGCACACATGTCCCAGATACTGTCCTCGCTGCGAGGTTATACTTCACCCTGTAAAGGGATTGATGGCGTTGTCAGTAAGCCAAGTATATAAAGCCACTGAGACCACTAACCTAAACCGGCTTAGCGTTTCACTAATAGAGTCCCACTGAAAAAGAAGGGCTGGATATTCTTATCCTGCAGCGTTTCTCCAAACGCCCAGAGATTCTGCTTCTAATAATTAAGATGCTGACCTTAATGAATGCCATTAAGAGATCAGGGTTAGCTCACAGATCACATAAACCTGGATCTGGAATCTCACGTGACCTGGATTCATCTTCTGCAACTGAGGCTGTCTGCAGAAATGGATTCACAAGATCTGAGAGATTATAAAAGTAAAGTGAAAACATTTGTGTGATTAAAAATCAAAAGAGACTTCAAAATGAACATTCAGACGTTTGACTGTTCTGGTCGCTGAAAAAACTATTCGAACGGGACATAAAATGACCAGAAATGTGCTGAAGGTAGAGTAAAACTGAATTAAAATAATTACTATTAAAATGATTAAAGAAATTAGATTAAAATGCATAAATGACTAAAATGTTACTGAAATGATGCATGATTTGTTATTTTTGGAGCTTGACAGCTTCATTCACTTTTGAATGTCCGAGATGATGACCACTCACTCTATTATATGAAAAACAGTGTCTGGGATGATCATCTTTTGTTTTGTACAGAAGAAAGTCATACTGTGATATTCTTCCCTTTGGTTAGCTTTCCTACCAGGGCAAACATGGAGGCACAACGGAGCGATTATTTAATCCTCTAGTCCTGATCACACACGTATCCCTGTACCTTTGCGAAGTATTGTTCCCGCAGGAGGTCGAAGCAGGAGTATGATCTGGAGATGATGGTCTCAGTGTCAGTGTTGAGTGTTCTTGTTCCCTCAGGAGGTCGAAGGAGGAGTATGATCTGGAGATGATGGCCTCAGTCTCAGTGTTGAGTGTTCTTGTTCCCTCAGGAAGTCGAAGCAGGAGTATGATCTGGAGATGATGGCCTCAGTCTCAGTGTTGAGTGTTCTTGTTCCCTCAGGAAGTCGAAGCAGGAGTATGATCTGGAGATGATGGCCTCAGTCTAAGTGTTGAGTGTTCTTGTTCCCTCAGGAAGTCGAAGCAGGAGTATGATCTGGAGATGATGGCCTCAGTCTCAGTGTTGAGTGTTCTTGTTCCCGCAGGAGGTCGAAGCAGGAGTATGATCTGGAGATGATGGCCTCAGTCTCAGTGTTGAGTGTTCTTGTTCCCGCAGGAGGTCGAAGCAGGAGTATGATCTGGAGATGATGGCCTCAGTCTCAGTGTTGAGTGTTCTTGTTCCCGCAGGAGGTCGAAGCAGGAGTATGATCTGGAGATGATGGGCTCAGTCTCAGTGTTGAGTGTTCTTGTTCCCGCAGGAGGTCGAAGCAGGAGTATGATCTGGAGATGATGGCCTCACTCTCAGTGTTGAGTGTTCTTGTTCCCGCAGGAGGTCGAAGCAGGAGTATGATCTGGAGATGATGGCCTCAGTCTCAGTGTTGAGTGTTCTTGTTCCCTCAGGAGGTCGAAGGAGGAGTATGGTCTGGAGATGATGGCCTCAGTCTCAGTGTTGAGTGTTCTTGTTCCCGCAGGAGGTCGAAGCAGGAGTATGATCTGGAGATGATGGCCTCAGTGCCAGTGTTAAGTGTTCTTGTTCCCGCAGGAGGTCGAAGCAGGAGTATGATCTGGAGATGATGGCCTCAGTCTCAGTGTTGAGTGTTCTTGTTCCCGCAGGAGGTCGAAGCAGGAGTATGATCTGGAGATGATGGCCTCAGTCTCAGTGTTGAGTGTTCTTGTTCCCTCAGGAGGTCGAAGGAGGAGTATGATCTGGAGATGATGGCCTCAGTCTCAGTGTCGAGTGTTCTTGTTCCCTCAGGAGGTCGAAGCAGAAGTATGATCTAGAGATAATGGCCTCAGTCTCAGTGTTGAGTGTTCTTGTTCCCTCAGGAGATCGAAGGAGGAGTATGATCTGGATTTGATGGCCTCAGTCTCAGTGTTGAGTGTTCTTGTTCAGGAGGTCGAAGCAGGAGTATGATCTGGAGATAATGGTCTCAGTGTCAGTGTTGAGTGTTCTTGTTCCCGCAGGAGGTCGAAACAGGAGTATGATCTGGAGATGATGGCCTCAGTCTCAGTGTTGAGTGTTCTTGTTCCCGCAGGAGGTCGAAGCAGGAGTATGATCTGGAGATAATGGTCTCAGTGTCAGTGTTGAGTGTTCTTGTTCCCTCAGGAGGTCGAAGGAGGAGTATGATCAGGAGATGATGGCCTCAGTTTCAGTGTTGAGTGTTCTTGTTCCCTCAGGAAGTCGAAGCAGGAGTATGATCTGGAGATGATGGCCTCAGTGTCAGTGTTGAGTGTTCTTGTTCCCGCAGGAGGTCGAAGCAGGAGTATGATCTGGAGATGATGGCCTCAGTCTCAGTGTTGAGTGTTCTTGTTCCCGCAGGAGGTCGAAGCAGGAGTATGATCTGGAGATGATGGCCTCAGTGCCAGTGTTAAGTGTTCTTGTTCCCGCAGGAGGTCGAAGCAGGAGTATGATCTGGAGATGATGGCCTCAGTCTCAGTGTTGAGTGTTCTTGTTCCCGCAGGAGGTCGAAGCAGGAGTATGATCTGGAGATGATGGCCTCAGTCTCAGTGTTGAGTGTTCTTGTTCCCTCTGGAGGTCGAAGCAGGAGTATGATCTGGAGATGATGGCCTCAGTCTCAGTGTTGAGTGTTCTTGTTCACTCAGGAGGTCGAAGGAGGAGTATGATCTGGATTTGATGGCCTCAGTCTCAGTGTTGAGTGTTCTTGTTCCCTCAGGAGATCGAAGGAGGAGTATGATCTGGATTTGATGGCCTCAGTCTCAGTGTTGAGTGTTCTTGTTCCCGCAGGAGGTCGAAGCAGGAGTATGATCTGGAGATGATGGCCTCAGTCTCAGAGTCGAGTGTTCTTGTTCCCTCAGGAGGTCGAAGCAGGAGTATGATCTGGAGATAATGGTCTCAGTGTCAGTGTTGAGTGTTCTTGTTCACGCAGGAGGTCGAAGCAGGAGTATGATCTAGAGATAATGGCCTCAGTCTCAGTGTTGAGTTGTCTTGTTCCCTCAGGAGATCGAAGGAGGAGTATGATCTGGATTTGATGGCCTCAGTCTCAGTGTTGAGTGTTCTTGTTCAGGAGGTCGAAGCAGGAGTATGATCTGGAGATAATGGTCTCAGTGTCAGTGTTGAGTGTTCTTGTTCCCGCAGGAGGTCGAAGCAGGAGTATGATCTAGAGATAATGGCCTCAGTCTCAGTGTTGAGTGTTCTTGTTCCCTCAGGAGATCGAAGCAGGAGTATGATCTAGAGATAATGGCCTCAGTCTCAGTGTTGAGTGTTCTTGTTCCCTCAGGAGATCGAAGGAGGAGTATGATCTGGATTTGATGGCCTCAGTCTCAGTGTTGAGTGTTCTTGTTCAGGAGGTCGAAGCAGGAGTATGATCTGGAGATAATGGTCTCAGTGTCAGTGTTGAGTGTTCTTGTTCCCGCAGGAGGTCGAAGCAGGAGTATGATCTAGAGATAATGGCCTCAGTCTCAGTGTTGAGTGTTCTTGTTCCCTCAGGAGATCGAAGGAGGAGTATGATCTGGAGATGATGGCCTCAGTCTCAGTGTTGAGTGTTCTTGTTCCCTCTGGAGGTCGAAGGAGGAGTATGATCTGGAGATGATGGCCTCAGTCTCAGTGTCGAGTGTTCTTGTTCCCTCAGGAGGTCGAAGCAGGAGTATGATCTGGAGATAATGGTCTCAGTGTCAGTGTTGAGTGTTCTTGTTCCCGCAGGAAGTCGAAGCAGGAGTATGATCTGGAGATAATGGCCTCAGTGTCAGTGTTGAGTGTTCTTGTTCCCGCAGGAGGTCGAAGCAGGAGTATGATCTGGAGATAATGGCCTCAGTGTCAGTGTTGAGTGTTCTTGTTCCCCTCAGGAGGTCGAAGCAGGAGTATGATCTGGAGATAATGGCCTCAGTCTCAGTGTTGAGTGTTCTTGTTCCCTCAGGAGATCGAAGGAGGAGTATGATCTGGATTTGATGGCCTCAGTCTCAGTGTTGAGTGTTCTTGTTCCCTCAGGAGGTTGAAGCAGGAGTATGATCTGGAGATGATGGCCTCAGTCTCAGTGTTGAGTGTTCTTGTTCCAGCAGGAGGTCGAAGCAGGAGTATGATCTGGAGATGATGGCCTCAGTCTCAGTGTTGAGTGTTCTTGTTCCCGCAGGAGGTCGAAGCAGGAGTATGATCTGGAGATGATGGCCTCAGTCTCAGTGTTGAGTGTTCTTGTTCCCTCAGGAGGTCGAAGCAGGAGTATGATCTGGAGATAATGGCCTCAGTCTCAGTGTTGAGTGTTTTTGTTCCCGCAGGAGGTTGAAGGAGGTGTATGATCTGGAGATAATGGCCTCAGTCTCAGTGTTGAGTGTTCTTGTTCCCACAGGAGATCGAAGCAGGAGTATGATCTGGAGATGATGGCCTCAGTGCCAGTGTTGAGTGTTCTTGTTCCCTCTGGAGGTCGAAGGAGGAGTATGATCTGGAGATGATGGCCTCAGTCTCAGTGTTGAGTGTTCTTGTTCACTCAGGAGGTCGAAGGAAGAGTATGATCTGGAGATAATGGCCTCAGTCTCAGTGTTGAGTGTTCTTGTTCCCTCAGGAGGTCGAAGCAGGAGTATGATCTGGAGATGATGGCCTCAGTCTCAGTGTTGAGTGTTCTTGTCCCCTCAGGAGGTCGAAGCAGGAGTATGATCTGGAGATAATGGCCTCAGTCTCAGTGTTGAGTGTTCTTGTTCCCTCAGGAGATCGAAGGAGGAGTATGATCTGGATTTGATGGCCTCAGTCTCAGTGTTGAGTGTTCTTGTTCCCTCAGGAGGTTGAAGCAGGAGTATGATCTGGAGATGATGGCCTCAGTCTCAGTGTTGAGTGTTCTTGTTCCAGCAGGAGGTCGAAGCAGGAGTATGATCTGGAGATGATGGCCTCAGTCTCAGTGTTGAGTGTTCTTGTTCCCTCAGGAGGTCGAAGCAGGAGTATGATCTGGAGATGATGGCCTCAGTCTCAGTGTTGAGTGTTCTTGTCCCCTCAGGAGGTCGAAGCAGGAGTATGATCTGGAGATGATGGCTCTCGGGAGGCAGGAGAGAGAGGATCAGGCCTCCACATCCAGCAGTCTATCAGACGCTCCTCTGGGAAACTCCTGTGAGACTCACACCGCCGGGGATTCTGGGATACGGCAGACCAACACAGTACGTGCCGATCACTGTCACTCTGACGTCATTCATGTCATGCGTTTCACCATAACCGTATGTATTACCATATAGATCATTTTGCTGGAAAAATGTAGTGAGTAAACTGAAGGACTCTGACAGAATATATGATCTGAATAAATGAATCATGTTACAGGGCTTATGAGTGAACGGAGTGAGTGCAGTTTTGATGATCATGCGTGTTTCGGACGTTTGAATGTCTTGTTGTAGTGCACTTCCACTGCGGTCACACACACCTGTGTCTTTGACTTCCGCTGTGTGTGGTTTTACACTAGAGGACGATCACAAACACTTTAGACCCTGTTATACACAATATACACTAATGCCAAGGTCTCTGGAAAGAGGTTTGGTAAAGCGAGTCCGAGCGCCATGTCTTCCTCTTGCTGAGCTGTGGACGTGTTACAGTGGGAAGAAAAGAGTTGAATCTTGCAGAACTTCTTTGTTTCTCTCTTTAGAGCTTCAGAGTCTTGAGAGAGCAACTTTACAACTCCATAGAGTTGCATATCTTGGAACTGGAACCCAAAACCAGAACCAGAACAACTCTTTGTCTCAGAGAGAACCTTTTTAAACTCCTGAGAAGGAGGGATTTGTAAATTGGCGGATTCCAGATCCAGCGTTTGATTGGCTGATGCTGTCAGAGGTGTCCACTGCATGGTTCATTTGCATAGCTTAAAGTTCATGTTTAGAAGTCTTTAAGGTTTTTCCTATGCATATTTTACTTTCCAAACCAGTTCCAGATTAACCTAGACATTGTGCTGAAAACATAAAAGTTGATGATGAAAAGTTGAATTTATGACATTTGAAATAGACATACTAAGTCATAATTATGAGATGAACCGTTGAAATTGACATACGAAATCATAATTTCGACTTATCAAATTTTTTTTTATTGTGACTTAGTATCTCATAATTATGACTTTTTGTATGTTATAATTAAGATTTACCAAAGCATGTTTTTTTTGTGAGTGAATGATGCTGAGTTTACCCTTGAACAGCAGGTGAACAGACCTCAGACAGGGACTTACACTTGTTCTCACCTTCCCCAGACCAACGGCAGCGAGACTGAAGCTCCAGAGCTGAAGATAAAGCAGTCTGAGTCTGCAGCCGGCAAGGGTTCAGCGTCATGTGAGTGTGTGTTCCCATCCACACTCGCTCTCACAGCAGCCAATCACGTGGGTGTGTGAGAGGATTAGTGTTGTGTGTGTTTGCACAGGTAAAGGTGAAGCTCTTCCCGCTGTGAGGACACCAGTCAAGGGTTCAGCGTCTGCCAAACACACGAGTCCAGAGAGACTGAGAGACGACGACACACAGAGAGACTGCAGACCACTCGCGGTGAGACACACACACTTCACCGGCTCATTCACACTGTGTCCGACTCCTAACCAGACGTGTGTGATAAAAGACATCTTTTCATGTTAATCAGTTTATTTGTCCAAACCAGCCTTGACGTAATACGTGACGGTTCTGTTTGGCTGGAACAACAACACACAAAGTATGACAATGACATACTAAATCATAATTATGAGATAATCTCTCAAGTACTGTTTATGTGCTTTCTTTAATGTTAAAAGCAGCTAATGTGAGTTTGAATATCACCTCAGATCTTGAAAATAAACTAAACAAGAACTTTTAAAATGTACTATGACAATGCGCTTGCAGAGAGACTCACACACACTCTTCTGATTGGTAGGGATTTTTGATTGATTTTGCCACGTCTCATAGTCGTGTCGCGTCTGGTGTGTCTGAAACACTGCATGTTGCTGGAATCTTATGGGATCACGTCTAGTGTTAGTGTGTGTGTGTGTGTGTGTGTGTGTGTGTGTATAGGATGAGGAGGCGTTACAACAGCATTGATGTTAGGGTCTCTCTCTGTGTGTGTGTGTGTGTGTAGGATGAGGAGGCGTTACAGCAGCGCTCGGAGTATCTGAAGCAGCAGAGAGACAGACTCCAGGCCCGGAAGAGAGATCAGACCCTGAAGAGTCCCACTGACGCTCCTCCTGTGACCCCGGAGCCCAAAGCCTCCGCACAGGTGCTCATACACATACACACACACACGCACACACATTCACCTCCGTCACACTGCGCTCCTGTGCACTCAAGATAAACACACACCGGCAGAGTCATACCTTAAAGATGTTATCCTCATGCCACTCCCACTCTGACCACATAAGATTTGTAGCTACCTGACCGCATTGAAGCCAGCCTAATGGTGCGTTCACACCAGACGCGAATAGAGCGTCTGGCGCGAGTGATTTCAATGTTAAGTCAATGCAAAGACGTGTTACGCGCGTAAAAATTCCTGTGGCTCGAATCAGGCGTAGAGCGCGGCGCGGTAGACGCGTCAAGTTCGCCGCGAATTGACCGTCTGGCGCGTTACGCGCGAATGATTTTATTAAATGCTTAAAGATGTTATGAAGGTTTATGTCTGAAACCCTGAGATATTTCCTGTGCGCAGGATAGATGCTTATATGGAAGTATGCATCCCTGAGATCGACCACAGCGAACCAATCGCCCGGAGGATTGAACGAGGAGAGCCCGACAGTGGGCATCTAGAATTTGTACTGAAGTGCTTGTTTAGAGCACGTAGGTCCATTATCTGGCGCAAACACCCATCTTTCTCTGGAATTAGAAAATAATGGGAGTAATAGCCCTTCTGAGTTCCCCCCACTGGCTCTGTCTTATAGCCCTTTTCTATAAGAGGGAGGATATTCTTGCGTCCAACACCCGAGCTGAATCCCCATTTGCTACAGCTGCTATGACCCTGTTGAATGGAGGGGGTTTTACAGCGAACTGAAGCATGTAACCCTTAGTTACAGTTGCTAGGACCCAAGGATGTGCAGAACTCTCTCTCCAGGCCTCCTGATGAAGAGCCAGAGGGTTCTGTTGAGCCGATTCCATAGATGGAGTGCTGTGCCATCTAGTGGACGGAGAGAAAAACGGCCAGGATCTCTTAGTTCATTGTTATTATATTGTTTTTGTCACCCTGCGCCCTAGGCTTTGAGCCTGGATGCGACGGAGAAGTTTTTATTTGTTTTGAACCCAGGGGCTGAAGGGCTTTGTGACTATACACTCGAGAACTTGTGCTTGTACCCATCAGACCACATTCTTTTGCTGGCTGAGATTTCTGCACTCAAACTTGTGATATTGCTGTCAGCAATCCACGGACTCTGTGATGTGGACATCATGACACAATTCCTTAATAATTTCAGATTTCATTATTTATGATTTACATTTTAAGACATTAAAATGAATGACAGATGTCTGGGTGTAATTTCACTGCTGGTTGTAGATTATCTGCCCTCAAACTATCGTTTCTTCTTCCCTCTTCTTTTCCATATTCCAGGAAATCTCTGTTGAGGAGAAGAAGAGATTGCAGAAGAGAAAACACCTGGCAGAGAAACTCAAAGAGGAAGTCATCAAGAAATAAAGCTCTAAACGCGGATCACTTTTGTATATGCTTTCATTTATATTTTTGTATGTACCTGTATCACGTTAGATGTGATCTCACATTACTTCACATGAACCTGTGGATGGTCATTCAGACGCGTGACGTCTCGCTGTTTGCTCGAATCTCCTGGCATGATCAGCTTAGTAATGTCTGTTTCTGCAACATGTTTAAATCTTTACTTACTAAAATATTGTTATGCATTATGGGAATACTCACTATTACGCATATGCTCATATTTCATTGTTATTTCGCAATCTGTGGACAGATGATTTATGAAATGACCCAATAAAGTATCATTTTTAGAAAGAAACTAGAGGTTCTTTTTATTTATTTATTTTTCCCAATGAAGTACATATTCTGCTATTGGAGTTTGTTTCGAACACAAAACCGACAAGCATTATATATAGTAATGCAATCCAGATACTGAAACACGTTCACGTCAAGCCAAAATATCTTATATACTTTATTTATTTATTTATTTTATTTTATTTTTTTGCATTTACAAATTTCAATACAGAAGTTACCACTCTCAGGCCGTCACTCACTAATGATTCATATTCACAGCCGTCAGGTTTAGTTTAACTTGGTGGAGATTTTCAGGCTTCTGTCATTTTATTTTTGTGTGTTTAGCAGAAAAGCTCTGGATACTAAAGCATCAGATTTGCTCAGTCAACTTCTCTTTCAGATGAAAGTCTTGCAGGACTTCTGTCAGTGTGAATATCATCAGATCTGTCGTGGTTTAGTGATCACAGGCCACCAACCATCAGGATATATTGCAGAAGAGCAGTGCTTAAATCACTGACGGAAAAATGTTCCTTTATGTGCAGCTCAAATGTTCTGTTCTTGCACACATCTGATCTGGGGTCAGGCGAAGCGTCACAGAACAGATCCTCTTCTGCGATTCACTCGATCTTCTTCTGCTGGTCAGACACTGTCCTGGCCTGGACGCTCCTCACCGCCTGTTATAACAGAGATCTATGTATTGGTTATACTAAATCACTAAATAAATGGGCTTTTTCTTTAACAAGACCACAAAATGATTAAGTTTCATCAATATTAAGATATTTACAGATAGATAAATTAAACCTGTTGCTCATATCTTTTAAGTTGTTGCGGTTGTGATAACGCCGTAGGTCACATGATAACGTCACCATGGCAGATGTCCGGTTCACATTCATATCGGGATCAGGCTATAGTACCCACTCCTCTAGAGATAAAGCGTTGTTGAAAATCCGGTTCGCGTACCCCGAGGTGATAAAATAAAACTAAATTTTTTATCAAATGTATAGGCAAGACAAGTAGTTTGTTTAGGCATGGTTTTGTAGGGAAATTACAAACCTGCACACATATATTCAAACGAATATAACTATAAAATCAATTTTTAATGCCCATGTGAACGCCATCAGGTCACAGGTTCGCGTTTAAAGTCTGTTTAGAGAGAACGCCGTCGTCTTAGTGGCCCCTAATGTAATAACAAATGATAATTTTGCTGGAGGTGAATCAATCAAAACTAACTTTAGCTGGAAATAACATTATTCAAAAATCGCTATAAAGCCAAAACAATCTCTGTTACCATAAATTGTATGTTTATCTCTGTAAAGCTGCTTTGAAACAATCTCCATTGTTAAAAGCGCTATATAAATGAAGATGACTTGACTTGACTTAAGCGCCATTTAATTACCACTTACTTATTGAAATTATCTTTACGTGTTGATCTACACACGTGATCTACACATATCCACAGAAGTCTGGGTATAAAATGGGTATATATTTGTGCTCAGTTTATGTAAAATAAACTATTATATATGTGAACTGTATGTGTTTGTATTATAAACTTATTTAAACAGTGCTAATACATAATTATTTGTATAAAGCATTATATGGCTTTATCTGTTTGTAAAAAGAACACTTTGTTGTGTGCAGTTTCCTTCTGTCTGTCTGCTGGCTTTAAACACTCTTACACTTCATGTTATTGATTTCACTATTGATCTTCAGTGGACTTGCCTTATTCATTTTCACTGGATTGTGTTTTCTAGCAAAATCTGCAGTGTAAAACGAAACACAACCCTGCATTCATAAATTATGGATGTAGAAGATGTTTTTTTGGATCTTGAAGAGGTTTAACTGCTTACACTTTACAAAAAAGTTATTTTAACCACTCACATCAAGGAAAGCTATCTTCAGCACTCAGGCTATAACTCCTAAAGGCTCCTAAACTCCAGAATAGCCGTCCTGATAATGTTCGGGGCTCAGACTCGCTCTCCCAGTTTAAATCTAGATTAAAGACGCATCTCTTTAGCCAAGCATTCATATAATGCATCTCTTAACCTTAAACAGTTATATTAGATCAAATGCACATGATTATTCTTGCTTAATGTTATGAACAGCAGCTACGCTAATATTTTTTCATTTTCTTTTCTGTTTTATCTTGGGATGCCCATCCTGAGGTAACTAGAGAGTATGTCAGCTCCAGTCTGTATCCAGCCTATTATGAAGACTTCAGATGATCATATCCTCTGTGAAGAGACGACCCAACACCTGTGAAGAGACGACCCAACACCTGTGAAGAGACGACCCAACACCTGTGAAGAGACGACCCAACATCTGTGAAGAGATGACCCGACATCTGTGAAGAGACGACCCAACACCTGTGAAGAGACGACCCAACACCTGTGAAGAGACGACCCAACACCTGTGAAGAGATGACCCAACATCTGTGAAGAGACGACCCAACACCTGTGAAGAGACGACCCAACATCTGTGAAGAGACGACCCAACATCTGTGAAGAGACGGACCCAACACCTGTGAAGAGATGACCCAACGCCTGTGAAGAGACGGACCCAACACCTGTGAAGAGACGACCCAACACCTGTGAAGAAATGACCCAACTCCTGTGAAGAGATGACCCAACATCTGTTAAGAGACGACCCAACACCTGTGAAGAGACGACCCAACATCTGTGAAGAGACGACCCAACATCTGTGAAGAGACGGACCCAACAGCTGTGAAGAGACGGACCCAACACCTGTGAAGAGACGACCCAACACCTGTGAAGAGACGACCCAACACCTGTGAAGAGACGACCCAACACCTGTGAAGAGATGACCCAACATCTGTGAAGAGACGACCCAACACCTGTGAAGAGATGACCCAACATCTGTGAAGAGACGACGCAACACCTGTGAAGAGACGACCCAACACCTGTGAAGAGACGACCCAACACCTGTGAAGAGATGACCCAACATCTGTGAAGAGACGACCCAACACCTGTGAAGAGACGACCCAACACCTGTGAAGAGATGACCCAACATCTGTTAAGAGACGACCCAACACCTGTGAAGAGACGACCCAACATCTGTGAAGAGACGACCCAACATCTGTGAAGAGACGGACCCAACACCTGTGAAGAGACGACCCAACACCTGTGAAGAGACGACCCAACACCTGTGAAGAGATGACCCAACATCTGTGAAGAGACGACCCAACACCTGTGAAGAGACGACCCAACACCTGTGAAGAGATGACCCAACATCTGTGAAGAGACGACGCAACACCTGTGAAGAGACGACCCAACATCTGTGAAGAGACGACCCAACACCTGTGAAGAGATGACCCAACATCTGTGAAGAGACGACGCAACATCTGTGAAGAGACGACGCAACACCTGTGAAGAGACGACCCAACATCTGTGAAGAGACGACCCAACACCTGTGAAGAGACGACCCAACACCTGTGAAGAGACGACCCAACACCTGTGAAGAGACGACCCAACACCTGTGAAGAGACGACCCAACATCTGTGAAGAGACGACCCAACACCTGTGAAGAGATGACCCAACACCTGTGAAGAGATGACCCAACTCCTGTGAAGAGATGACCCAACATCTGCGAAGAGACGACCCAACACCTGTGAAGAGACGACCCAACATCTGTGAAGAGACGACCCAACATCTGTAAAGAGATGACCCAACATCTGTGAAGAGACGACCCAACATCTGTGAAGAGATGACCCAACATCTGTGAAGAGATGACCCAACATCTGTGAAGAGACGACCCAACACCTGTGAAGAGATGACCCAACATCTGTGAAGAGACGACCCAACACCTGTGAAGAGATGACCCAACATCTGTGAAGAGATGACCCAACATCTGTGAAGAGACGACCCAACACCTGTGAAGAGACGACCCAACACCTGTGAAGAGATGACCCAACATCTGTGAAGAGACGACGCAACACCTGTGAAGAGACGACCCAACATCTGTGAAGAGACGACCCAACACCTGTGAAGAGACGACCCAACACCTGTGAAGAGACGACCCAACATCTGTGAAGAGATGACCCAACATCTGTGAAGAGACGACCCAACACCTGTGAAGAGACGACCCAACACCTGTGAAGAGATGACCCAACATCTGTGAAGAGACGACCCAACACCTGTGAAGAGACGACCCAACATCTGTGAAGAGACGGACCCAACACCTGTGAAGAGACTACACAACACCTGTGAAGAGACGACCCAACACCTGTGAAGAGACGACCCAACACCTGTGAAGAGATGACCCAACGCCTGTGAAGAGACGGACCCAACACCTGTGAAGAGACGACCCAACACCTGTGAAGAGATGACCCAACTCCTGTGAAGAGATGACCCAACATCTGTGAAGAGACGACCCAACACCTGTGAAGAGACGACCCAACATCTGTGAAGAGACGATCCAACATCTGTGAAGAGACGGACCCAACACCTGTGAAGAGACGACCCAACACCTGTGAAGAGATGACCCAACATCTGTGAAGAGACGACCCAACACCTGTGAAGAGACGACCCAACACCTGTGAAGAGATGACCCAACATCTGTGAAGAGACGACCCAACACCTGTGAAGAGACGACCCAACATCTGTGAAGAGACGACCCAACATCTGTGAAGAGACGGACCCAACACCTGTGAAGAGACGACCCAACGCCTGTGAAGAGACGGACCCAACACCTGTGAAGAGACCTAATGAGAAGATTAGAAGACCTAATGTCCAGTTTTTAAATGTTTAAAAAAATAAAAATGGTTATGTGAACGTTAGGGGAAAATTCCATTGTATCATTCTTAAAAAATTATGGGAATGTTACTTTTAAATGTTCTCTGAACATTCCGAAACAAGTAGTAACATTTTAAACGTTAGACAAACATCCAACTAAAACATTAGTTTAAAATGCTCCATGAACAATGTATAAATAAGGTTTTTGTGCTAATATTTTGAGAACAATATTAAAGACCAGATAACATTGAGCAAACATTCTATTAAAGTTACTGGA